ATTATATTATCTATAACATGGTGTGTAGATCCAATTTTCTTGACACCATGGATCAGAAGCAAAAAGCTAAATGGTGCTAGGGGACTTCTGGCAGTGGAGAAAATACAGCTGATGGTTTCATGATAAAGAAAACACTTTAAAACCCTTCACACCTGAAAGAGATGCTTCATAGTAACTTCAGTCACCCAAGGAAACACAGATCATATATATATATATATATATATATATATATATATATATATATATATATATATATCTCCTCTTCTAACTAAAACAGAGAATGGTAATTTAAGAAAACCATTTCTCCAAAACAATGAATGCCCTTGAGGCAACAAGTTTCAGTTATTTGGAGAGAGCCTCTTATATGTAATTATTCACCATTATTATTCTCGGTATTTAGTAATACTCCAGTGCCAAAGCTTGGCTCACCTTGCTCCATCTCCTCCCTGCCACATTCTTCTGAACTGTCCCTCCTCCTCCTTCCCCCAACTTTTCTACTTCTCCAGCTCCCAAGGATAACTGGCTCCTCCCAGTCTGCCTAGAACTTTCTCCGTTTCAGTACTGCAAGTCACACACCCTTCAGCCCAGGCAATGCAGGACAGTGGGACACCTTATTCCAGAGCCAGGACTTTCATAGTCTTCTTCCACCTGTATCTTGCAGAGATTGCCTTGTGGCCATGCAATTAAAAATAAAAGTCATTATAACAACCCTCACTCGGTGACTCTAACTATCAGACCACTAGGGTCCTAGGGTCTGCCCTTTTTGGGAAAAAAAAAAAAAGCTCTGAGGTCTTGAAATGTGCTAATCACAGACTTGGTTCTTTAGGTCATTAGCATGAAGCTAGACTTCCTTCTTTAAAGTGCTATGTGAGGAGCAGGTGCTTAGGAAGGTAAGAGCCTGGAAGGCTTGCTGGACTGTCACTCAAAGAGGGGCCAAGCAGAGTTCCTCTCCTGTGTGTGTGTGTGTGTGTGTGTGTGTGTGTGTGTGTGTGTGTGTGTGTGTGTTTGATAGAAATAATAAATAAAAATAAAGGTAAGGCCTATATAGCATTCAACTTCCTACCTGGCTTTATCGTGACATATCTTGTTTAAATCATTCCAATCCGGGAGGAGGATCCTTTTATACCTTTGTTTGCCTTCCAAAGAGGAAAGTAGGTAGTAGGCTGCCTGCAGCTGGATTAGTAATGGAACTCTGTGGTTTTGCTTGGGGACAGGCCTAAGCAATTCCTAGTTCATTGAAATTAATCTCAAATTTGAAATTTACCCACATCCTGCAACCAAGGCTGAGGTTTGACATTGTTCTGCCCCTTGTGTATTGTCCCCACTCTCCAAATACTGAAGGAGGAACTGGGGAGCAGGTTAGCAATAAGGCAGGAAAATCCAGGGTTCTTGTGTCCTGTGTGGGGAAGAAAAGAAGAGTGCTTTTGTTCCTGAGACCAGAAACACTGATGCAGAGAGGTCTCAGGTTAGATGGCAGGCCACCAAAGTAAAAGCAGCATGGAGCAGTGAATGGGGCAGCTCAGTGTTGAAGGTAACTTTTGAATCAGCTCTGATACCAACTGGCTGAGTCCACAAGGGTCAAGGCCCTTCTCTGGACCTCAGATTCCTCTAGTCTTAAATGGAAGCAAGGGGCTTGGAGTGAGCTTAAATAACTTACTATATTCAGCAAGATCTCAGAACCGTACTCCCAATAGTTCTGAGTACTTGTAAAAGGAAAAGATATTAAGGAGAAACACCTATGTCAGAATGCAAAATTCCTCTGTATTTCCAACTTTGAAAAGCACTTTAACTTGAACTTGCTAGAGGAAGAGGCATTTTCTCTGAGGCCACTTATCCTTTGCAACTTCATATCCTGAAAARATATTCAGCTTAGTGGAGTAAACCAGGCTTGGAGGCAGATAAAACTTGAATTCAAACCCTACTTCCATAATTCCTTAGCTTTAAAATTTAGTTTCTTTATCTATTACTGAAGTCAAATCTATACTGAAGATTTAATAGGCCTCAAGTCAAATCTGCTCACAATTGTAAGTGAAGTTTTGTTCAAGTTCAACCATCTCATTTGTTTTCCTGTTATCTGGGATCCTTTTGGACTATAGGCTTAGTGGCTTCCTTGAGAAAAGACCCTCTTTGGTCCATGAAGCCAAAAATATTCACTCTCTGGCCCTTATAGCACCCTTTTCTAAGTCCTAATCTGCAGTAACAGAATGATAATACCCTGATTTATTTTTTGTGAGAATTAGATAAAATGATACACAAGGCAGAACTTACACATAGCTGAGGCTCAATGGAGAATTAACTGATACTATTTAACAGAGAATCAAAATCTAAACCTTGTACTTTATTTTTGTGAGTCTTGTTTGCTCATTTTTTTTTTTTTTTTGGTCTTTTCTACCTAGGTCATTCTGTACAAAAACATAACATGAGCTTGACTTCCTTTAACCTGGATTAAAGTAATCTGCCCCTCTGGTGAACCTGTGTGTTCTGGCAATTTCTATGGCTCTATTCATCCAAACTATCAGGGTTTATGTCCTATTGTTTGGGAATATCTGAACATTTCTACTGTGATCATAAGGAGGAACAACCATTCTTGCACAAATTTGTTTCAATTTTTAAGTTTTTATTTAGAAATAATAAAATAAGACATAATATATAAAAATATGTACAACCCATGGTTTGTGCAGTACAATAGGAAGACTTTAGATACAAAAAGGATGGCAAATGGGAAAATAATAACTATCACGATTGTCAAAGGCCTGAATTGTTCAACTCTCTATAGCTGAGAACTGAAATCTAACATCGCCAGTAAAGAAATTCTAGTTGGCTGAAGGTTGTGGGCAGGGAGGTGACTGTGTAACACCAAGATTTGGGGTGGAGGAGCTAGGGATGAAAGGAACTGGTGAAAGAAAGAATGCATCAATAGAACAAAAAACGAAGTCAAACAAATTTTCTCTAGGAATTTGGAAATGACTACAGTGCTAGAGTGACATCTTTAAAATGTCTGATTCAAGTATACTCTTAGAGGGATAGAAAACTATTCCTTTCTCAATAATCAAAATAGAATTCACTTTGTCTACCTTTTATTTAAAAATAGAATAACCAGGAAATCTATGCCTCCCCCCCAAAAATATAATGCCCATCCAGATACGGGCAGACATTCTTTAAAAGGGAATACATCCTAAGGAAATTCAATAGGGATTTGCTTGCAATAGAGAAGCAGCACGCATCTGGGAATCGACCCCAGATATTCACGGTGAGTCCCTTCCATCTGCGTTCTAGTGACAGGTATGCACTAGTTAAGGAGACCCAGTCAAAGGACAAATATTTTGAAGGTAAACTGCAACAATATATGTCGTGCATTACCTGTGTCTTGGCTCTTGACAAGAAAAAAAATACATATATATATATATATATATATATATATAGCCACTTAAAGCTTGTAACTATTAAAATGCTAATAACTAGAAAAAGCTTTCAAATTGAACAGTCCATGCTGAAATAAATAACAGAAGAACATAGCCATACGAACCTTATAAGGCTGGTAAATATGTGCTAAAACCATGCTAACCGGTAGCATATAGGTACTAGCTCTCCAAAATTGCTGCACTGAAATTATACTTTCTATGGCAATTTTTTTTCCTTTACATACTTCTATTTACATTTGGCTTTAAATATGAAAATATCTGATAAACTTTATAAAATGTACACTTTAAAAACATAGCTTCTGCAAAATTTTCTTGAAAAAAAAAAAAACAAACCTGTGCACCAGAAATTTTAGATTTTTTCTCTTTTTCAGAAATAAGTTGAAAGATGTCCCTCCCTCTTCCTTGTCCCCGTACCCACCCCCTTCAAATATCTCAAGTCTTTTTAAGTGGTAGCACTGTGTGTTTGGGGGTCCTTCTTTGAGGTCATCCCCATGCTCCACTGCATCTTCATTTAATTTACATATCACTAAATACTCTTTGGTTTGATTGTTTTCCTTTGCAAAACATCATGATAGCAGCAGCTGAAGCCCTCGATAGCCTCTCACTGTCAAAAGTCAAATTGTTCTCTTCTATTAAATCTCCCGTTCCCAATTCCTCCAACTCTTAAAACAACTTCCCAAACCTGCCTTTGAATCTGGACTTAAAATAACATCCACGTGCTTAGCATCTTTTTTCTCGGTTTCAATGAAAATATCACCACGGTTTTCAAACCCACCAACTTTCAAACCCACCAACTTGGAAGGCTTGAAAACAGCAGAAACCGGCATAGTTTTGCAGGCACTGCGTTCAGATATGGCTGTTCAAGAACCAGAGACCATCACGAATGTCCATTTACAAAACATATGACTTTAGAACAAGCTGTATTTTAATGGCATACCAGAATATAATACCATAAGAGAGTTGATTTTGAGACTAATTAAAAAGAAAAGTCAGAAACCCCAGAATTCACAAATAGGGAACTTTAAACTGTAGCAGAGTTCCGCTATTGGGCTAAATCAAGGAGGAAAACGGTTCTAGCAAGGCAGGCAGCCAGGGAGGAGAAACTTCTGGAAAACAATGTGTCCCTAGTAAACTGCTCTGGGCTCCAAAAGAGACAATGATGGGTTCACATTAATCACGAGAATGCACACAAAGAASGACTCGACCCCTTTTAAACTATTATCTCCTTTCCCTGTGATTGTGTTGGATTTTTATGGCTCTTTTTGACCCTAAAATACTGGGATATTCTCATTCCTACTCTCTGCCATAAAAATAGGCAAATTTCCTCTCCCTCCTGAATACTGGAGCTGAAATGCTGCATCCAAGTGGTCTGTCCACCCCTTTCTGCACSCCCCACTTTGGCAAGTGCAGCCCTGTCTGACTGTGCAGGATGCACTCCAAACAGACTAATGGGAAGATCAAGCCTGGAGGACAGGCGTGGCATCTTTTCTAAGGTGAYGTTCGGCTGGAAATGTCCAGACAGTTGAGGAAATGAACTCAACTGAAAAGTTTAAGTCAATTTATTTTTTCAYACCAATGGCTGCATGGAGGGTGCCAGGATATGTGCCAAGTTCAATCAAGATCTCATCTTATGGAATAAATTTTGGAATGTGCAAAAAGGGGAAGTCCAGAAAAATCTAAGAGCATGTCACCATCTCTCTCACTTGATGCATTAGTCTGGCCAGCATTACCCAGCAGGATAGAAAAGATGTTGATGTTCTTTGTGTGTATGCATGTGTATGTGGACTGTACTTCCCCTTTGTTCTTCCTCTTCYACTTCCAACAGGAAGGGTACATGACAGAACAAAATTTAAAAAGCACTACACTTACTAGACTCCGTGTTTGATGCTGTTTTGTGAATAAGGTGCAAAATGAACAGGCGGTTTGAGGTCTTGCTGAGGTTCAAAGTTATTGTYTCTTGATTTCAAGGCAACCCATGGGGCTTTGTTTCCTTTTTARTATAAGCTCCACTGTGCAAAAATGTGCATTATCTTTGGTATTTATTTTAGGTAGTCTAACTTAAAATTTTAGATAACCCATTGACATCAGGAGAAAGGAAAAAAAAAACCCAGAGGCTACCATTTGGCTAGTGTTACATAATGCCCTTATGTAACGAGAGAGAGAGAGAGAGAGAGAGAGAGAGAGAGAGAGAGAGAGAGAAGAAAGAGAGAGAGAAAGAAAAGAGAGAGAGAGATCAGTTCTAGGAAACAGATTACTGGCCTCCAAAAAATCAGGCTCTCAGTTTTGGCAGTTAATAGCCAAATACTTGCCACTTTGAAGCGCATCATGAGCTTTCAACAAAGTTCAACACTGACTTTTAAATCACATAAAAGAAAAACTACACTGCAACAAAAATACGATTTGTGTTCATGTAGTTAGCAGCTTTTCAAAAAAAAAAATTAAGGCAGAGTCTTGCCTTTGTTATGCCATTAAAAACACTCTTGTTCCCTAAAAGAAGCATTCTGGATAAGTCAGATACCCAACCAAGGCTTGCCTGCAAATTCAAGTTTTGTAAAAACACAAAACAACACATAAAAGCCCGCAACTTAGTCTACAACACGTATGTGCCATCGGGTCACGCAAAGGCCTGGTTAGTGCTTTGCATCAATCATGGAGCTTACAGTCTTTCTTGGAAACCATTGTGCTAGCCTCAGTCCCTGGTGGCCACTTGCCTTGACCCACCTCTTGACCAGTACCGTCGTCTGTTAACTGTTTCAGGCCTCTGACCAACAGACTGTGGAGTAAAGTAAGTATTCCAGAGCAGGAATCAGTCAGTCATATCTCGGATTCCCGCCKTAAGGGCCTGGGCTCTAGAGGTACGCTGGCCTGGTTGTGGAGGTCTATGTCTGGGGGGGTGTCTGTACTAGTGCTTTCGGGGACTCCGTTTTCACTGTCTTCTTCCTCTTTGCTCGTGAGGGCGACTTCATTTTCATAGCAAAATGAATTAGCATTTGAGAGGATATATTTCTTCTCGGCTAAGTCTCTGGCACTACAAAGGGGAGTGTTGGGGACTTCGTAAGTCTTGTGGAACCTGGAATAGTCCACCTTGTAGTAGTGCTTCTCCTCAAAGAGGACCGGCTCGTAGCGGTGGCCCCAGAGGATCTCATTGKCCAGGTAGGAGCTTCGGCACTGCGTGGTCATGGCAGTGGCCTCTACCATGCCTTCCAGTATGACGACAATTTCAAAGTCTGCGTTATCAATGTCCTGCTTACTCAGATCATATAAAGGACTGTCTTCGTCGATTTCATGGACGATAGTGATTGGGGACACTAGAAATATACGGTCGATCCCACTGTCAAACCCCACATTGATGTCTATCTGATCCAGGGGGATGTACTCCCCTTCGGAAGTAATTCTGGATTTGAGGAGCTGCGCCCGCACGTGCGCTTCCACCAAGTGGCTTTTGCGAAGGTTGCCCACTCGCCACATCAAGCACAGCTTGCCGTCTCTCATGGCGATCACGGCGTTGTGACTGAAGACCAGGGTCTCGTTTCTCTTCTTGGGCTTGGCCATCTTGGCCATGACCGCGCCGATGATGAAGGCGTCAATGATGCAGCCCACGATGGACTGGAAGACCACCATGAAGACGGCGATGGGGCACTCATCCGTGACACACCTGAAGCCGTAGCCTATGGTGGTCTGGGTCTCGATGGAGAAAAGGAAGGCGGCCGTGAAGCTGTTGACCTCAGACACGCAAGCTTTGCTCTCCTTGGATGCATCCAGGTCCCCGTGGAGCAGGGCAATCAACCAAAACACGCAGCCGAAAAACAGCCACGAGAGGACAAAAGCCAGGCAGAAGATAACCAGCATCCACCGCCAGCGAATGTCCACACACGTGGTGAAGATGTCCGCSAGGTACCGTTGTCCCTTCTCACCCACGTTGATGAACTGGACATTGCAGTGGCCATCCTTCTTCACAAAGCGGCTCCTGCACTGTTGCCGGGTGTGGACTTTGCTCTTCCCGTTCCCAAAGCCATTGGCAACCGCCATGGTGGCCAGCTTCATGCCGTCCTCTTCCGAAGAGACGATGCTGTAGCGGTTGGTTCGCACACTGCCCATCGCTTCTGCTGTGGACTCCAGTGCTTCTGCTTTGGAAAACAGTCTGAGTTTTTGCAAAACCCTTTGGAGAAACAGTTTTGAATGTTCGGTGAGGACACGTACACAAAAAATGAGGAGAGATGGGTGTCTCCAGGAGCCTTGGGGTCCTACCAAGGTCTGTCAACTGACATGCAGAGGTACCTTAGTAACTCAGCAGACATCCAGGGAACATGTCCTGCAAGGAAAGACAGACCATTCATTACAGAAGTCATTCTTAAGAGAGTCCTAAGGCAACAAACCCTGCCCTGAGAAAGCACTGAATTGCAGGCATTTTAATTTCTTTGTCCCCTAATTTTTGTTTTCAATTTTTATTTGAAAGCATAAACTCATCAGGACAGTAATTCCTCCAGAATTTCTTTTTCCTCTCACTTTTTTTTTTTTTTTTGCCACTGAATTCTATCGTCTTTTTGCCTTCTCTACTTGCTAGGTTCTCAAGTCCTTACACAGAAGAAAGACTTTCTGGTGGCCAGGCTTGTTGCAAAGCTGTTAGAACCAGGACGTGTCTAGGGAACATTTTGTGAGTGCAGCCTTGATATTAATAGACTTGCATGTGCACTATGGGATAGTATCCCAGCCCTTGATGGCAAGGTGGAAGTTGGGAGGTACAGAATATTTTGCCTAAATGATAAAACTGAGCAGACAGCCTTTAGGATCATCTGAAATGGATCCCGGCTGCTGGGTACTGTTTGGGCTTGCTCCATCATTTCACACGCTGGAAGCAGCCACTGTGCAGAAATGCCTGATAACATCTCAGTTAGTGCAAGTGATTCTGACTTGAAGACACAGATTTGCTCCGGGGAATAGACAGTGATTCTGTTGCCTAGCAATKCGAGTCCTGAAATTCTCCAGAGAGGGGACTGCCATGTGTAATGACAGGCTAGGAAGTAAGCACCTTTGTGCCAAAGGACCAGGTCTTTAGCGGATTTAGATAAGGCAGGAACCCATTTCGTGTGGGTCCAATGCTGTGTTCCCTCAAACAGAGACAACTCTGTAATCAAAGTGGCTCATAAATGCCAGTCGGCTGGCTTTCGCTTGGAGTGCTTCTGTTTGCAATAGGTTCCTATGGAGAAGGCACTCACCTTTACTTAACACGAGCAAACAGTAGTTTTCAGCTTTCTCCTATTGCCTCATTCTCTCCTAGGTAAAAACTGCCTACTTGATTTCACATCCCATCTTGGCTCCAAAGAAACTGGGCTTTTCCTTGACTCACTATCAAAAGCCTAAGAGAAAGTCATTTTCCTCACCAAATACATATAGGCAAAGCTAACAGAGCCTAGAACTAAAAAAAAATAACAGTGGTTCTCAACTTCTGGAACAATCAAATCCATTTCCCGTGTCTAAGGGGGGACAATGAACAATAATACATAGAAAGGATCAGAAATTTCTTGAAGCCCTGGTAACAAGGACTCCACTTTTTCTACCCCCCCCACCCCCGCCCCAAAGCCGCATTAAGATTAAGCAGTTAACAGAACCATTGGCAGCCAAACCAGCTGCAAACAAATCAGGCAAACCATTTCTCTTAGTTTTRTGCATCCCTTTAAAATGAGGCAAGGTGCATTGTCTTTGAAAATGTCTCCTTACAATCTTTTGACTTCTCCCTCCACATCCAAGTTATTATGCAAGAATGTGCCCCAACACATTTTTCCTGAGATTAGTCATCTGTGAAAATTGCAATGTGTGTTACATTTTGGCAGCTTTTGACACCTAAATGATGCCCGATTTGAAAGTGCCTTTGAATTACTTTATAAAAAGAAGTTACTGTGCCTTCCCAGATTTCCACCTGCTTCAATGTTTTGTCTGCTTCCCTGTGAAGTTTGCACTTGGACAAAAGAAAAAAAGAATCCTATTGCTCAGGATTCAAGATCCTGGGCATGGAAATATTTTTTTTTTTAATACAGGGATTTCAGTTTATTTGGCTCACATGGAATTGCCAAGCGTTTCTACACAGAGACAGAAATATAACACTAAATGCAGGTGTACTTTTCCGAAAAAGGGGAAAGAGAGACTTCCTTAAAGTGTGCTAGTATCTTTGAGTTCTGCTTGGCTTTAGGACCCTTTATTATAAACTGACACCAAGAAATGCCCTCTTCACAATTCAAAACAATCCTTCCATCCAAGTTACCACTGGGGGACATGAGGAAGCAGATTCAAATTTCTTCAGACTTATTTCTGCACTCTTTTCGGATTAAAACATAACCATCATATGAAAACTAAAGGCTGCATTATTACTTCCCAAAAATCTTGACCCCAGGACATTTGTTTAAATTCCACAAATCACACAATACCAACTTCCTATGAATAGCTGCCCGCCTTCAGAACCTTGAAAATAGCCTGTATCAAGCAACTATTATTGTCTTATTTCCATTGCTAATGACAGAATTTGTTCCACATGTGGAGCATCATTTAGAAATTTTACCATTTCTTCCTGGAAAGGGGAAAAGAAGAGTTGGTTTCTTTTTCTTCTTCTTTTTTTTTTCTTAAGGCAAAATGGGAACTTTGATCACTTCAAATAAATGTACCCCCAAACAGATTTATGTGTATATATGTGTGCATTCATATTGTATCTACTCAGAGTCTGAGGAGCTAATTACATAACAAAAGACTAAAACTTGCCAAAGTCTGATAGGGTAACTATCCTAGTAAGTCACCACAAAGATCCCCTTTACTGTTCACCTGCCCACATGTCCAAGTGGCTTTAGGTAAACAGAGACATCTTTACCAGCTCCTCTGTCAAAGGAAATCAYTAATTCATGAACATCTGGGAAAAGCTTTCATTTAAAACACAGAACTTTTATGCACCTTTATTCCATATGATGTTTTGACAAAGAGTTGATTAGGAGTCTAGGGAACATTAAATGATTTGACTTCTTGATGGCTATAGTTCTGGAGAGTTGGTATTTGATCTGATGAACAATATATGAATTTCCCTATCAGCCCAAATACCTAAGGGGCCTGAAGTAAACTCAATGGACACAAATAATCATTTCATTCCAGCCATAACCAATGATGCAGAAAGTATTCCTGGGAAATTGAGAGGCCACATGTGGTGCTGTTCATGTTAAGACTATTTATAGGCTGAGCCAAAATTAAGCATAAGCAATGGAAAAAAATAGTTCAGCACTTCAATCTTAGGTAGATATTAAAGGAGAAAGGGCTATGGAGTTACATGGTACAAATGGAGGGAATATAAGTTATTTTTGCCATAAAGGAAATAATTCCAACAGGCAGATAATAACCATGGAAAAGATAATCATGAGAGCAAATGAGAATAGTTCTGCCACATGGTCTTGGTGTACAGTGAATAAGAAAGTTTCTGACTAAGGACAGGACATAGACAGAAGAAAATGTGCAGGGTTGAGAGAGAGAGAGAGAGAGAGAGATTTGCTAATGAGTGTTCAGAGCAGCTATTCCCCCGCTGACGCCATATAGACCAGCCTGAGTGTGCTCTGGGCACAAGTTGCTACGTGAGCACAACTGCTAGCAAAGCGACCTCTTGGAAGCTCAGTAAACAGAAGGGAGGAGGAGGGGACCATGGGGGGGGGGGTGTTGCACCAGTCCATCTATGTGAATGCCATCTCTGACATTTGTGCTGAACAATGCATGCTACATTGCTCAGCATTTGCATATGATGGAAAATACACAGATTTAGTAAACAAAAATAGACACATAAAACAAATTGAAATGGTCCAACTGTTTAGGTAAAGATGTGTTTAATCTTTCAGGCCACTCAAAAGTCATGCAAGGACTCTAGAGCTAGCCAGCAATTCTTCAACTGGAGAGTCTGAAGGATATAGAAAGACCATGTTCTTACAGAAAGAAAAAAAAAAGAAAATACCACATTCACAACGGTGTGAAACAAATATTCCTTATGGATACCAATAAAAAAAAAATTAAGTAACCCCCAACATATAAGGAAGAAGGGCAGAAAGCAAAATGAAATTATGTTAACCCTCAACTCTCACCCCTCCCATTGTCCTTGAAGTAACATCTCTCACTCCTTCTGAACATTAGGATTGTTCAGGATCATGGCAAAAACAAATATAATACTTTGAAGTTAGCAAGAAGAAACTGATATGTGTAAAGGTAATGCACAGTGGATATAAAACATATTTACCAAGGGAAAACTTGACAATATATTGATTATTAATGTGAAAACAAATGGCAAAAGGCAATGTGTACTTTCTGCATACCCCTAAACAGGTTTTCAAATAATGCCCTATTTTGTAACAGGTACACTCTGAGTTTATGAAAATCTCCAGAATCCATGCCTCTTCCTAGTAACCACACCGCTGACAGGCTTAGCCTGACACACGCAGCAAACTAACCACCCGTTTCCTATCTCTATTTTTTTTCAACTGTCAGGATGAATCCATGTTATGATGCAATATTTTTGCAGAATCAAGTCATTTTGATGGTTTTGCTTGCTTAAAACCACAGTATCTTCAAGCTAGGCATTTATACCATTATTAGTAAGAATAACAAATGGCTTAGGGCAGAGTGACATACAATGTGAAAGTTTTGCGGTTCTCAGGCTCAAATCCAATTCTGGCTTCTGCTCTCTTAACCCAGCAAAGCAACTTTGAGAAACTCACTCTGTTTGGAACTTGAAGCTATACTTGAATCAACTAGGGAAAAAAAAAATAAAAGACATCGAAGCTATGCTTGAATTAACTAAGCGAAAAAAAAAACAAAACAAACGAACAAACAAACAAAGACTCCAAGGATAGAGAATAAATAGTKCTGTGTCCCAAGGTTTGCCAAGGTCTGAGACCAGGGCTTGAGTTTCACCTCTACCCCTCAGCCACCTTCTTTCCCCTATGATCACCCTTCTTAGAGGGAGAATGGAACACAGACTGTAGCCCTTGCCTCCAAACCCAGTATCTCCCTACAGCTGGTGCATTGGAAGTTATGAGCACAAACAGATGCTGCAGAGAAATCTGTTTCTATTGCTCAACTGTTCCAAGCATGTCTCAGTATTTTTAGCTCCGAGGGTGTTCTGGTGCGCACACAAACTATATAGGCTTGAGCTGGGACTCCAAAGCGTGGGGGAGCACTACAGCAACGTGACAGCTGGGCACCTCTGGAGCAGCAGGGCAGGGTAGTTTAGGGCACGGTGGCCCGAGTCCATTTCCGAGGACACACAGCGAGAGAGAAGGAGTGAAGAAAACACATAGCAGCCCTTACCTGTTGCTGGCACAGGAGCATGGGGACATGGAGTGGAAGTGGGGGGTACAGAGGCATGTAAGATCCAGTGGTTTGTAAAATTGAGTGAGCCGAAGCAAACCAGAATTCCCAAGACCCAGCTTGCCGGCGCCGGGAAGGCTGCGCGCTGGCCAGGGCTCCAGTGCGCTCTGCAATATCCTGGGCTCTTTTGAGGCGGTACACGCGATACCGGCCCTTCTGACTCCGCCCCCCCGGCCGCTGCCGGCCAATCGCACGCGGTGGCCCCGGGAACCGCGGCGGGGAGGGGTGGATGCTACACCCGCGTCCCGCGGCGCAGCCTGCCAAGGGAACCTGCTGCCGCTTCCTCCCCCTCCACCCTCCCAGCCTGGTCCGGGAGTCGGGCCCGGCTGGGGAGGAGGAAGTTGCGGCCCAGCTGGGACAGCAGCAGGTGGGAAGGTCCGCGTCCGGGCTTTTGCGGCTGCCTAATTGCAGCCTGGCCTTGGGCAAAGCTTCCTACCCTTCTCCTAGCCCCACACTTTCCGCTTCGAAGGGCCTGCGCCGTGCCAGTGCTGGGGTGAGAGGTTGCCGCCGTCTTCCTTTACCCTGCCTCCCACCCTAAGCCCTCAGTCTCTCCAAAACGGGACCTGCAGCGCGCAGAGGAGCGGCCAATTAAGTGGGGAAAGGGGCTGGGACCCGCGCGCAGAACCCCACGGGATTTAGACGCGCACAAGTGTAGCGACTGCTAAGCTGCTGGGCGATTTCTCCTCCCGACTGTTGGAGAATTACTTACAAAGCGCCTAGACTTCCCTGGAGGATGAACTGCTCGTTCTCTCTCGCCTTGTCCGCCCTCAATCTCTTCCTCCACCACCGCCCGGCACGCTCTGCTGATCTAAAATCAGAACAATTAGAGAGTAATGAATTCTCTGGAACAGCAACTCCTACAGACACTCAGCTCTGCCCTCGCACCAGCGCCTCCCAACCCTCCTTCCCAGCAACCAGGCAAGAGCGTGTAGACCCTGAAAAATCAGCTCAGTGTTAACCGGGTCTAGAGTCTAGAAGTTTGCAAATTCATCTGTGTGCGTTTGTGTGTGTGTGTGTGTGTGTGAAAGTGAGCTCATATTATCTCTGAGTTCTTCGGTGTCAAACGAAGCTTCGCTCTTAAAGGACACGATATATTTAAAAGTCCTTTCCTTCCCCCTGTGTTTGCAATTCCTGTATATATATTTTTTCCTGTTTATTTCCTAAAGCGATCAAATGCCGCTTTCAGGCGGTGTTTGTAGACCTTTTAAGGGGCTCCTTGAGTCACCAGCAACTTCGCCAAACTAGCTCTTAATTCTGGACTGTCCAGCTCGGGTGAATTTTGGCGATTAAGAGACGTGAAACGGACAAAATTCCAAGAAGGGCTCTGCGCGGGTACCCACCTCCTAGTTTCATATCCTCACGTGGCCCCTAGGAGGTGCTGGTGAAATGTGCTTCGGTTTTACAGCTACGTAGTTAATGCTGCGTTACCAAGTGTGCCTCGTTTTGTAGCTCTGAGCAAGACACTTAAATTAAAAGGGTATGGAATAGGTCACGCACGTGCTGTGACTGTTCTGATAACCAAATGGCGGTGCTGTTCCATTTAGTTTGTAGGGATTATGTAGTACACCCAGGCTTGTTACTAATTCTTTTTTTTTTTTTTTGTCTTTTAAAGCTTTGTACGTGGGAATACTGTCTCACACAAGGGAGGTCTACTTTAACATTTATTAAGTCACGTATTATTTAGAAATAGCTTGGATTATATTTGCTATTATAAAAGGATGCATAAGAACCCAGGCCATAGCCCAAATGCTAAAAGAACCTGCCGGTAGACAAATCAATCCTATATCAGCCAAAGGATAAAAAAAATGAGTTAACAGCTCACTCCCACTTCCATAAGCTTCTTCAGAAATGCCCTTTCTCTTAGATTTCTTAGAAATGTTCTGGATTCAGATAAATACCCTGAAATATATTAAGACTAAATGGAAAAAGGAAATTAATCATTTATATATTTTCTCTTCTTTCCTATGATTCTATGATTGCACCTGCAGATGGCTATTAGTTTTCTGAACCAAATGCATTTAGAAAGGCAACACTTTTTTTCTCTTTTTGATTCCAGGTAATGAKCTCTGTTTGAAAATCAATCATGCAGAAATAAATGCCAGTTTTCTGAAACTTGGGTTGAAATTGTTTTCCTTTAATAGTCTACTCTAAGTAAAATGAATAAACCACAGGGGAAGACAATTTGATACAAAAATCRTTACAGAAATGAGTACAAAGTTTAAGATGATTGGCTGCATCTATTAAAGGCACATAATAAACATATCTCAGTCTTTCTCAACAATCATCAGCATCATCTTCATCCACCTCTCCCATGGACTGAATGACATACTGTAAAGATTACATCTGATAAGAGAAAGTTGAAGAAATATTAATGTTTTGGGTAAGAAACTTGATTTTCATAATAGAATCTTTACCTTAATTGTTTAGCTAAGTAAGGAAACATGAACAATCAATTTTTAAAATTCAAACTCCATAAATGTATGATAGCATTGCATACTCAAATGTTGCATTTTAAAAAACAAAAGCATATAAATGAATTCTAATTAATAAGTGACTTTTCACTATATCCCTATTAGGAAAATTCAATCGTGCCAAGCACTTGGGCAAATGTGCTTTTTTTGGAGCAATGAGTGATACTGATTTCTCTAGTCAGTCTCTCTCTTTTGGCTGAGTCAGGCCTTATTTAGCAAAAATCCCCATTAGTTTTGGACACCACTGCAGTTAGATGTTGGGATCCATCCGTGGATTAAATTTTTCCAGGGAAATGACAAATATGCTCTTCCTGAGAAGCTACCTATAACAGTGGAGTCAAATATTCGTCATGATCTAGATCTGCATTCAGGTTGTGAATGGGCATGTGACACACAGGGTAATTGTTTCACTAGCAGCACAGATCTTTCCTTTGCACTTATATAAGATATGATCCCCAACAATTAAACATGTTTTCAGACTTCTAATAACTGTATTAAACAGTTCAAGACCACAGTAATAAGAAATGAGATGTTCCTGACATTTGTATCTATCAGGTATTAAGAACCACATATTAATCTTCTGAGTACTAATTGATGATATCAAATCATCATCAGATTAGCTAGAAATGTAGTCAAGATGAATTTGCAATCTGCTGCTTTTGTGACAGCCACCGATTATGCTACTTTAAGGCATTAATTCTTATCTACTGGAAAATAGTTTTGGTTTTAAAAATCATGCTGTTTCACTTATCACGTGGGTAATACTCATTTTCATATTACATTCAATGAATGTATTTGTTGAATAAGTATTTTGTGCTTTGGCTATATGCTGGGTGACACAGGGACAGGAAAGCCCTAGAAGGAGCAATTTCAGCCCTTAGGAGTTCACAACTTCTGGTTCAGATAACAATACACATATGAAACATTCAAATGGTAGAAGATTTACTATGCATGACATACTAGCATGAGTAGGAATACTAAGGATGCTGAGAACACACCAAAACCACAATTGCCTCCTCTTTCAGCTAATGTGCCAAACACCCATTATGTCTGGATTGGCTTGTGTATTTTTAGTCATGTATATAAATTACAAGATGCTTCTAAGAATGGCCTATTCTCATTCAGTGTCTCAGTCTACTGTCTACTCTAAGAAAAATAGGATTTATTCTATAAGCGTTATTTGCTTCACAAAATGGCATATCTGGCATACCTGGGAATGCAGCATTTTACATAATAGTTTTCCTAAATGACTGAAATTTGTTTGGGTGGAAACTATTCTCTCTGCGTTATTGTATCCAGCTCTCTGATTGCTGTTAGAGTGCTCTGTACCTATTTATAGTGTAGCATAATTTGTTCTTTTTTTTCAAAATGTTTGTTTCTACTTACCTATTGCAGACTTTGCAAAATCTAATGCAATGTCTTTTTTATTTATATGTCCTTGTTGCCTTGCACTTGGCCAGGGACATCAGTCAGTCTCCATAAATGTCAACTGACTAATGAAATGAACAAATATTTTTGAGTATAATTTGATTTGAATAATGACTCAGTATGAATATAATAAACATAGCAATTTCATTTTTACCTGCAATATGGTGGACCTATCAGTGTACAGAAGAGCCATTTCCTCTCCGTTAAATGACTCTAGACCAAACTTAATTAAGCTTTTCTGTGTGTTCTTCCTTCTCCGTTAGTATGAGTCTTCACATTTCTCCTTCTGACAGTGTGCCTTGAATCTGTCAGCCTGTCACCRTGCTCTGTCTAATGTGTTGATTCTAATCTGCACTGGGCTGACAAATTATGTAACTAYGGTTGTTAAAAATATATGTAAAATAAAACCAAATACGATCTAACACATCTAAAGATGTAATTTTGAAATAGTATGAACAGATGCTGGATTTGAAGTCATCTTCTTTTGGTCAGTTTTCTTTTTGGATAAAAGAGCTTCAGGATATGAATTTATGGCATCTATTTTAGATTTGCATAGTACTTACTTCCCTTAGTGCTTGTATTTGCTGTGTTATGAATAGTTGAAGAAGAGCTTTGGGTAAGGAAGTACCTGTGTGTTTGCAACTGTTTATATACATATATATATATATATATATATATATATATATATATATATATTTGTGTGTGTGTATGTGTGTGTGTGTGTGTGTACAAAACTCATATTATTCATCCAGTGATATTTCAGTGCTTCCTGTGTCCATTTATTATCATGATCTTTATTTTCCAACAAATCTGGTAAAAATCAAAAGCAGTCAGTGGGACTGCTTTTTAAAGGAACTCACACTTCTAGAGCAGGCAGGTAACTATTTAGTAAATTACCTCTTCTGTCATGCTCTGGAAGACTTCATTAATCTCATGTGGGTGAGACAATTATACTCTGAAAATATCATTTGCATCGCAGGGCCAGCCCTTACATTAGTGTTCTTAACACAATGATTACAGTGATTGTTTCGTCTTTGTTATCTGTGGGGGGGTTAGTTCTCTCAAAGGTCATGAGCCCTTACAGACTCAGTTCATCATCTCGTGCCAGGGATGACAGCTCTTTAGGCAAGGTAGTCCTGACATAAGCATAGGTCATTCATTGGTCAGAAAAGGAGCCAAATGCCAATCATTATGCACACT